ACGTAGCTCCTCTACTTTTTTTTAAATTTTTTTGCGCACCCCAACTACTTTTTTTTATTGTGACGGGAGGACGGTGGAAAATACTACCTCTTTTTTTTTTTTTTTAAATATTAGTATGATCATGAAATATGAATTATTAATAAATACTAAATAAAGTAATGAGTAAAAAAAAAAATTGTTAAGTTGAGCTCCCCTACTTATTTTTGGCCAATTCGAGCACTGGTAATAAGCAAACTGGCAACGTGGCATTAGTAAAGACTGTATTTAAATGCTCTGTCCTTTGTAATTATACAGACCTATCGAAGCAACGTAATTTAAATAAAATTGAAGACATTAAATTTACAAAAACTTATAATAAATAATAATTATAATAATTTACTAAGTACTACCAATTTCTTTTTATATTTAACCTATACTTTCTCTACTTTAATAACTCTCTTTTCTCCTTTCTTTTTCTTTCTTTTTATTTTTGGTTTATTACAAATATAACAAAAATCAAGCACGACAGTAGAAAACTTTAAAAGTTAATAACTTTTAAACTATAATTCACCGACAAAATTCCTTCATATATTCTAATTAGAATTGGAAACTAAATTGATTAAAAAAAAAAATAATTTCGAAAAATCACTGTTACTGTATTTTTTCTCATCACTGCCATTGTTAAGAACGATCAACAAAAATTGAAACCGTTCACGTTTATAAAATTATTTTTTTTTTTAATAGTTTCCCAGCAGCTTATATAATTATTCATTTACCTTAACGATACAACTCTACAAACTTTAGAATAAAATACTTCATATTAAGGAATTAGATATATAAATAGTATATTAATAATATCCACTTCACATTTTCCAAATTATTGTCATATATATTTCTTTCGTCAGATTTAATAGTAAAGTGTGCATGATTTTATTTAAATTCATTATAAATTATAGAAATTAATTATAAACATACAAAGAGATTACATTACTATTGTGATCATTTATGATATATTACGTAATATTTAAGAAGTTACAACACATTTCTTCATATTTTTAGTAGTCTCAGTAATTAAATCAACATTCGATTATGTAAGATAACAGAGCCATAGCTCATAAAGTACCTCGTCATTTAACGGGTATATTTCATTACTTATATTTTATTTTTGTACGATTTTATTATGTCAATTCTTTATGAGCTCATTCAAACTATTTTATTGTTGTTAATCATGTTCAAAATCGTTTATGTTCTATTTGAAAAAACCAATGACATTCGCGTGATGGGTCGCTAAATATGAGCATGCGCTCATAAACGACGTTTCTTCCAAACGCCGAGTTCTACACAGCATAGGAATTATAGATAAACCTTAAAAGACAAATTATTTACCTCTTGAAATAAAAAATAGGAAAGATTAGTGGCTAGTTCACGAAATGTTCAAAGAATAAGGGCGGTCGAAATGAGAGGCAGCATTTAAATGTAAATGAATCTTTTTCCAAAATTAAATTTCAATGAGTTATAAAAAAGTTCTCAAACTAAAATTTATTAATTATAAATATAGTTTAAAAAACTAAAAAAACACGCTTTTAAAGCACATCGAACTAAAAAGTTAAAAATAATTTTTAAAATAATTATGAACAAAAAATACTAGTATTATTGTGATAAAAGCGTCGGGCGCTCAATATACGAAAAATATGGCACAAAGCACCCACGCTTTTATCACAATAATACTAGTATTTTTTGTTCATAATTATTTTAAAAATTATTTTTAACTTTTTAGTTCGATGTGCTTTAAAAGCGTGTTTTTTTAGTTTTTTAAACTATATTTATTTTTTACTTTTTAGTTTCATGTTATGATAGTAGTTACTATCAATATCATGGTTGTTACGGGTAACGGGAAATCAGGGTTCGATTCCGGGGAGGGAGTCTAAGAAACGGCTACCACATCCAAGGAAAGCAGCAGGCGCGCAAATTTCCCACTCCCGGAACATGGAGGTAGTGACGAAAAATGACAATACGGAAAACATCCCTCGAAATCGGAATGAATACTTTATATCTCTTAATTAGAATAAAGTGTGTTAATATATATTTTTAATAGTAATTAGAATATATATATATACAAATAATGCAACTTAACTACGTAAAAGTATCATGCACTAGGTATAGCTGTGTTTTGTGGGCGGGCGTGTCGGACTAACGTTATACCTGAGGTATAAACGGCAGTAGGAATATATACGTAAGCCGTATGGTACGCGGATAGTATTGGTCAGTCAAAATAAAAATTTGTTTATATATATATAATATTGATGACAAGCACACGGGTACGATAACCAAAAATAAATTTATACAGAGGAATAGTGTTGTCGTCGTGTGATGAGCGCGGCGTGGGGTGGGGTGAATGCGTTATGACAGTTTAGTCTAGACGACGGAATATGCGATAACGCGTGGCGTTTGGAGAGTTACATACATACATACATACATACAAGTGAAACTAATAAAAGCGTGTTAAAAAGATAGCAGAGGCGGTTAATTTGTTTTTTTTCCTTTTACATAAATGTAGTAAAATAAATCGAAAAAAGGTCAGTAGTTGGGTTGGGTGATAATTTTGCTGACTTCACTGTAGTTATTAATTAGAATAATATATGTTCAGGAATTGTCTAACATTCCTATACAAGTAAAGGTACATTTTAAAAATTATCATAGACTAGTATCAAATTCATAAATTTTATTTCGTGTTACTTATTTGAACGCTAACAGTAATGAAATAGTAAAAAGCGCTTATTAGAAAAGTGAAAAGGGTCATACAATTACCTTGAGTTACAAAAATAGTAATTTTAACTTTTCATTAAATTAAAAACTGGAAAAAAAATTTACTTTAAAAATAAAAACTAAGACAAAATTATACTAAATATACTTGAAAACTTATTGTTTACTTAAAATATACTAACAATAAGTGTTTAAAAAGTAATACTCACAAATATAACATAGTGTATATACTTACATATATGTCTACATATTTGAATATTATTTTATTTTATACATGTATAAAGAGAAATACTATTGAAAATACTTATTTAGAATTAATTATTTACAATTCCTTAAACATATTTTCTAAAGTATACTTATGGTAAAACAATACTTAATTTAAAATATGAAATTAAAAAAAATGTCATAATATTTTTATAAGATCATATTAAGATTTGATGTTCATTAACAATTTCATATTTTCATTATTTTATGTAACATTATAAAATGTGTCACAAATTCTTAAAATATATTGACAGTATTTTATTTAGAAGAATTTTAAATTAATTGTTTCATAACTAAAATCTAAAAAATGAAATATTTTTACATAATATTATATACAATCATGTATAAAAAAATATTTAAAAAACGTTTCTTTAATATTTGTCAACAAAACATTCTAATTAAAGATTTATTTCTCGAAGTTTTACGTGATTATCAAGAACTTCTGTGAACCATTTTTGTGTGACCGTATCGTTGAGAAAACTTGAAATAACTTTCAGATGTATCTCAAGAACTGATTCATCGTCCATTAAATTAGTTACTTCATTAAGCAATTCTGGATTGGATTTTATAGCAAATAAACTGTTGTATGTACCACCTAATCTTGAATTCCTTGTTAAATTTGTATCGGCCCATTTTTCTATATCATCATACCTATTTCCGATTGACATAACTTGACCAACGTGTTCTGCATAAACAGGTGATAAAAACACTGAACTTTCGGAATCTGAACAATTATTTTTAATGCATTTTTGAAACTTATTGTAAAAAGTAGGAAGATATGTGAAAACCTAAAAAAATATAATTTATAATTATAATTAAAAATTTTAACGTTATTTTATATTACTGGTAATGTTAAGTTCAATGTATACATCTTTATAAAATATATATTTTATTTAATTGTTTATGAAGGGTTATGTAACACTCATAAATGTAAAAGTATTTTTAATTAATGAAGTTACTGAATGGAATACTATAAAAGCTATATTAAAAGTGTAAGTTGGAGAAAATGATACTATTTGAAGTACAAAACTACTTGTAATTAAACTTATTAATGTACAAAAATAAAAATTTTATTTCTATGCTTTTAGACGCGTTACTATTAAATGATTAATTATTCGACTTAAAATAATGGGTGTTCATCAATTTCTATCATAGGTCTTTAGTTCTATTTATATACTCCCATGTTACTTGAAATTATAACTAACGTATAGTTTGAAAATAATTTTTAAAATTACTTGAAACACTGTATCACCGATTGTATATTCATCAACAAAATGTGAACCATATTCAGCAACGAAATTTGTAACCGTTGATTCTATACCAACAGATATAGATTTCAGTTTCTTACTAACAGATGGTTTTAATTCTACTAATTGTGTTAAGTTTTGAATTGACTTAAAGCGTTTTATAGGTCTTCTATAGGATACGACCACAAATTGATAATTTGGAGCAAGTGCCATATCGGATATACCAAATCGTTCAGATATTGTGTAAGTGGACCAACTGGCAGTCAACAATTTCCATGGTTTGTCAGATAAGTCAACTTGAAATCCATTAAAATAACTATCAAATAATGTATCTAAATCTGGACAAAATGTAAGTTTTACCTCTTTATTTGAATTTGTTACATTGACAATTTCACTAAAAACGTTAAAAAAATACACAAATTATTTATTTGATAAGCTTAATTGATTAGCTTTAATTTATTAAATTAAGTATTGTAAGCCTATATATTGTATATATAAATATATGTGTTTTATAATAGTTAATAAAAATTCCATCTCTTCAGAAGAAGAAAGGTATTCATTAAGTTATTACAATTGTAATTATACTGATATAAAGATTTTTATTATTTTTTTTGCTCGTAATCAATACAATATAAGTAAAAAATGTTATGGTAGTTTGTTAATTAAAAAATTTCATTTAAGCTCTTCTTCGTTATAAATTTCTAAATACGCCCCTATTTAATAACATTTTATCTCAATTATAATCAACTCAAACTAATCTACAAAAATAAATACTAAAATATATATTTTTTAACTAATAATATACTTATATTAATGGCGAACTAGCTGAGATACTACAATATCCTTTGCTCCAATATACACAGTGTTTAGTATGTAAGGAAATATATAAGTTGTTATAAATAATGAAAACAATAGACAACCGCTTCCTTACTTACTGAACATTCAATATATTTGACCCTCAGCATAAATGTATCATAATTAATTTCCTAAAAATATTGTGAATATTTAATAAGGAAATTGTTATTATTTGATAAAGGTGTAGATCTATTATTGTAAACTAATTGTAATCGTCATATATTTTGTAATTTGACCCTAAAATTATTTAATATTCCATGTTTTTTTTTGCAAATCGGTGAGTCTGATTTCTATATACACTGTATACTACTTATATAAAACGAAAATACTGCTCACTGGCATATAGCCCTGATTTCTTCTGAGTTAAACCTGTTAATAGCATTACGATTATTTATTCAAATATTTAAGGAAATATTTATAGAGTAAAGGCAATCTAGGGTTTAAAATATTTTTTTTTGTGTAAACCAATATCCCATTGCAGTATTGTAAGCGTATAATGTATTGAATATAATACATATTGTTATAATATCTTCATCATCTCGAAAATAGTTACAATCAAAAATTAAAAGGTATTTTTTATTGAAAATAAATAATAAGCATTATTTTATTTAAAAATGTATTGAAGAATGTGCTTATATCGCTTTTCAAAGATATGATTTATTCACTCGTCTACAATTTTTTAATAATTTAAAATAACACCTTTATATTTATTTGTATCGTTTTCTCGCTTGAACGATTCATAATAATTTTTTTAAGACAAGGGGATCATTATTTATTTATTTTTTTGTTATTTTAATATAAAATTCTTAATGCGATGTTAATAACTATAGAATTAAAATTGTGATCTAATGACTCAATTAAATAATAAGTCATTTGAAATAATCTTTTTTTTCGGAGGACCTTGGAAACTTGTTCTTACATAGGTCACTCTAGAAAAATTAAAACTATACCACTATCACGAAATACTAAACATATATTTTTTGAATGAATAAATGTGACAAATGGTCAAATCTTAATACTAAAACACATTAATATTCACTAATATTAGTATTACTAATATTCATTCACAAACATTCGTTATAATTACTGTTATTACATCTAAAATATTAAAAACATTTTAACAATTCTCAGTAATTATATTTTACTTATTTAGACTATCTTTAAGGAAGTATGATTTTGTTTGTGAGAAATTTTAATATTCTTTTTTATTGTATTAAATAACGTAATACACATAATTTAACTTAAATATAAATGTTGAAATATGGTTGTTTTAATATAAAAAAATGGTTATGAAGATTATAATTATCGTTAGAAAATAATTTTACTTTTTCATAATACGACGTTATAAAAGTGCAAAGATAAGTTCATTCAAATTATTTTTTTAAATTGATTATAAAGTTATAATTTTGTTAGATATCACGTACCTTCGAAAATTTAAAATAGATATTATTGCTATCATTTATTTTTATTAAATTTCAAATACAAATTTGATCATTCAACACATTAGATAAATTACAAGACAAATTACTGCACATTTCAACGTTGTCTTAATTTTTATTTAAAAAATACTATTAACTATTTAGAGTCTAATCCTTACGTTATTTGGTTAACATTTGAAATAATTTCATTCGTTAGCACATCTTTAATGTTTAGAGCACTTCCAAAAAGCATATCACCCATAATGCCAAACTTTTGAAGCACATCTACTCCGCCGCCAATTTCTACATTTATTATTCCCATAGTTGGCGACCACATATAAGTGACCATTTTTATTAACAGTAATATCCATTTTGTAGCAGCCATTTCACTTCCAGTTATTTCCAAGTTTGTCCATAGCTCACATACTTATTTCGTGTAAACACTTTAAAATAAAATAGAACAACGATATATTTTTAAAATAACGTACGCGTATCAAGTCAATAAAAGTTTAATTAATTTTATTTATCACCATCACAATATGAACAATATTATATGTAACACAATTCATTAAAGGTGAATGGTGTGTGTAATACGTTAATATAAACGGAACGCGAACATAATACCGCAATGATTGAGCTACCTTATCTGTTTACTGCTAGTGCTTGTGTGATTCACTAAACAGTATCTACATTAATATTATATAGATAACCGTCGTCATTTGTTAAATTTGTCTTCGCAAATATTAGACTAAGAAAGTAAAAAAAATGTTTAGATTATTAACACTGTTTCGCTCATGTTAATAAATGTGGAATTTTTATCGCAAAACAATACTACGGAAGATCACTACTATATTGCGGTTGCGCCCTGGAAAAACTCAAAATAATATTTATACTAAATGAGTAATTTCAAAAATGCAATTAAATAAGAAAATATTGAATAATTTTATTCATTTTTAAAATAATCAATAAATATTATTTATGAATATATGAAGTTAGAACTTGAATCTGCTTTTTAAAGAAAAATGAACCAAATTTTAAATGGTAAAAAAAATTCTAGTGAATTCATTACTGAAAATATCTTTCAGAAATAATCACAAATAATAATAATGAGGTATTTTTTATTGAATTAGTGGCAATTTAAAAACAGAGAGATGTTTTATATTCCTAACCTACTACTAATAAAGACCGATGTTAATAAACATTATCATCATCATTATTATTATTTTAAAAATTTGATATAGAAGTTAATTTTAGTACCACAAATATTAAATAATTTATAGCTTCGAAACATAACCCGTTAATTAGTTTTTAATTAAATTTTTTTGTATAAATCTATATTTTTTAATTATTTTTGTTAATTTAATTTTTTTAATTAATGCACATATCATTGTAAAACTAAAACTTGTATTTTACGTTACGTGACGGCATTATATGACGTCGTTTTATATCAGTAGTTTTGTAAAAATATATTTTATTTATATCATTATCCTTCAATTATTATTAATTTAATTTGACCTTTGGCGTGATGATTTTTACGTATTAGCTACTAAACAGTACGTTAGAAATTACAAGAGGCCCTTTGAACAGGTACATAAGTTATTTATAGATTTATCAGTGGTTATAATATGTAATGTATACTTGTAAGGAAGCTAATCATAATGGTTTCAAATAAAATCCGAAACGATTAATGTAATGCTTACCTTTACATTCCCGGAATCATTAATTTCCCATTACAATTATAAAATGAGCCTGTATTCATTAAACATATTCATTATTTATATTTATTAACAAGATTAATACATTAATTAGTTAATTTTAGATTATTTATGTTCATCTTATTTTAGTATATATAATTAGCGACCTTATTAAATTTTTTAATCGATAAAATTTTAACTAGAGGGTGTTATGATTTCCAGTTCTGATTACTCCTTAATGGAGTTCATAATATTACGGGGTTTAAATTATATTAAGTAGTTAAGCTATTAGTATTTAACATAATTTGTTAAATAATTAATTTATAGAAATTAAAAAAAAACCGTGTTTGCAAAATTTTTAACACGCTTATATCAGTTTCACCTGTATGCATGTTTGTAAATTTGTTTGTAACTCTCTACGCGCCCCATGTTATTATACTTGCTTATCCCGTCGTCTATGACCTTGAGACTAATCTGTCGTAACGTATTCACCCCACCCTGCTCACCACTTGATGACAATACCTTAAATTAAAGCTAATGTAATATACATTATTATGGAAAAAAAATTTCGGACTTTATTTTGTTTTGTTTTCATGGTGAAAACAGTCATCAAAGTTATAAAAAAAATACAATTTTTGTAAAAAAATTCTTTTTCATATTTTTAACTTTATTATGCTATAACTTATTGAAAAATGTATGGATCAATATCATTTTTTATTATAGATGCATGATGTTTTTACCTATCATTTAGTATATATTTTTTTATAAATCTGTCCCTTTACTTACCCACAAGGGGGGATTTAAAATGACAACTTTTTCAGCTTAAATTTTGAAAGTGTTCCGGATACTCTGACACTTTTATACATATTTTAAATTAAAGATAATGTAATATACTTTATTATGGAAAAAAAAAAATTCGGACTTTATTTTGTCTTCACGGTAAAAATAGTTACCAAATGCTATATTTGTATGAAAATTTTTGATTTTATATTTTACATTTTTTATTTTAAAATGCTATAACTTTTAGAAAAATGTATGAATTAATACAATTTTTTGATGAGAAATAATATTTATATCCCTTTTTCTTTTAATATACTTATTTTTAAATAACACCATTTCCCTTTATACATTATAAATATACATAGATATTTATTTATTCATATATTAAACTTCTAAATCATGAAACTTGTAATCAGGATATAAGTAAGGAAATAAGAGATCATGTAGCTTTTGGAATAATCCATTCATTTTTTTAAATTAAATACTATCTATAGATTCGCATCGAAGCGTTTTTTTTAGTGATTTTAATCGCTATCAGTTATCATTATACTTGTTCCAATTATGCCACATTCCCACTGTGCTGGTTTTTTTTTATTTAATATACATGTATAATATACAGAGTGTTCAGTAAGTCAGAAAACGGGTTTCTATTGTTCTCATTGTTTGTAACAATGAGAACAATAGAAACCCGTTTCATGACTTACTGAATACCCTGTATAAGGGATTACTATACAGGTAGCTAATTGGTTTTTTATGACGATATTCGCAGGTATATAATCTTTATAATCAAAGGTAATAAGACACATTGTTGTGACCTTATAAACTCATTAACTGGCAATACAGAAATTATATCTATTGATAGTCATAATTGACAATAAATACTCCGTGACTGTGACAGCGATGTCATAAAAAACTAAAAAGTGAAAAATAAATGTAGTTTAAAAAAAACTGAAAAACACGCTTTTAAAGCATATCGAATTCAAAAGTTAATAAATATAGTTAAAAAAAACTAAAAAAACACGCTTTTAAAGCACATCGAACTAAAAAGTTAAAAATAATTTTTAAAATAAGTTTAAAATAATTATGAACAAAAAATACTAGTATTATTGTGATAAAAGCGTCGGGCGCTCAATATACGAAAAATATGACACAAAGCACTCACGCTTTTATCACAATAATACTAGTATTTTTTGTTTATAATTATTCTAAAAATTATTTTTAACTTTTTAGTTCGATGTGCTTTAAAAGCGTGTTTTTTTAGTTTTTTTAAACTATATTTATTTTTTACTTTTTAGTTTCATGTTATGATAGTAGTTACTATCAATATCATGGTTGTTACGGGTAACGGGAAATCAGGGTTCGATTCCGGAGAGAGAATCAGAGAAACGGCTACCACATCCAAGGAAAGCAGCAGGCGCGCAAATTACTCACTCCCGGAACGTGGAGGTAGTGACGAAAAATGACGATACGGAAATCATCCCTCGTAATCGGAATGAATACTTTATAACTCTTAATTAGAATAAATTGTGTTAATATATAAATTTTAATAGTAATTAGAATATATATATATATATATATACAAATAATGCGACTTAAGTACGTAAACGTATCATGCACTAGGTATAGCCGTGTTTTGTGAGCAGGCGGGTGGGACTAACGTTATACCTGAGGTATAAACGGCGGTAGGAATAAATACGTAAGTCGTATGGCACGCGGATGGTATTAGTCAGTCAACATACAAATTTGTTTATATATATATAATATTGATGACACGCACGTGTGTACAGGAACGATAACCAAAAATAAATTTATACAGGAATAGTGTTGCCGTCGTTAGGTGAGCGAGGCGTGGGGTGGGGTGAATGCGTTATGACAGTCTAGTCTTAAGGCCATAGATAACGGAATATGCGATAATGCGTGTATGCTTGGTGAGTTACAAACATACATTCATACAGGTGAAACTAATATAAACGTGTTAAAAATAATACTAGTATTTTTCGTTCATTATTGTTTTAAGCTTATTTTAAAAATTATTTTTAACTTTTTAGTTCGATATTCTTTAAAAGTGTGTTTTTCAGATTTTTGAACTATATTTTTTAATTTGAGGGCTATGAAGTTTTTTTTGCTTATTACCTTATCTTAAGAGTGCTACACTGTTTATAGTGAATAGCCGTAAGGAACCACGGTTATACTTTCTGTATAGCTGTGAAAGGGACTATAACCTTATTATATTATATCAGACCCTGTAGGCTACTAAATAAAATCGATTTTAATAAATCTATTTATCAATCAAGTTTATCACTTTCCGAAAAGATTAAGGCGTAATAAGGTATATTTTTTTTAGGAATATCTTGTAGAAAATTAAGGTTTTTTTTTTACAGAATGACACGCCTACATAAAAAAGATTTCCTTAGATCAACAAATATTATTTAAAGGAGCTATACAAATTTTTAATGGAATTTTGCCCTTTCGTAGGTCTAAAAATAAAAAAAAAAATCAAAGGATAATAATGCTGGAGTCTCATTACCAACCTATGAAGGTACATTTCAGAAAACTCGAATCACTTACAAACAACTTTATTTTTCAATATTTATTAATTTTTTTTAAGACACTGAGTAATGAAATTTGTCAAGCTGTTCTACTCTACTAAAAGTGCTATAGCTCAATCTTTATATTTAATTATACCATTGAAAAACTAACTTGATATATAATACAAACATTTTTCTAAAAAAGATTTATATTTTCTATGTTTTTTTTTTTTTTTTGCTTAATTTAATATATTTCTAAAATTATTTTTCCTTATTTGTTTTTTAGGTTATTGACTTTTTATTTCCATGACAACTCTGAGTATATACATTGAAAATAGATATAATAATACTTATGCTTCGTGAAGAAAGCTGACCAGCAAAATATACTGTTCTCGCTTGGTGTAAAAATGTTTTCTTTATCAATATTAATTATTGTAATGGTTATTTTAAGTAAGTGACTCATTTTATAGCACAATAATATATCCGTAAAACATTTTTACTTTTTACTAAATTTGATATTAAATTTTGTTAAAATAATATTGTTTATAATATGATAATGACATTTTATATCTATAAATAATAGATATTATTAAATAATAATAATAATAATAATAGAAACAGGGTTGATAAAAAACATGTTTATTTTAAATTTTGTTTGAAACATAAGTAATTAGTTTTAAACGTTCTATAAAATCAATGTAAATTTTAAAATTTCTTTACGTAACAACCCTGTTTATTAAGAAAATATTATGTTTATTATTTTTATAATACATTCATAAATTTATAAAGTCTGGAAATTAACTTTAAAATCGAAAAATTGATTTAAAAATATAATATTTTTCCAGATTACAATAATTGATAAATATTTATAATATAGCAATAGATTATAGTTTTATTAAAGATGAATGTTTTTTCACAAATTATCCTATAATATGAATAGTAAAATCAATGGAAATAATTGATTTAATTACTATTGTCAACACTAATTTGTATTTATGATATTGAACAGAATTTTCTTGTTTATTATCTCAAGATATTTATTTATCTCCATTTATATATGATGTTCGAAATAAAGATTACATAAAAATACGCATTAAAGGATTGAAATCATATTCAGAAATCGTCGAGAATACAAAATGTAATGTAATGGAGTTAGAATTCCGCACTATAATGGTAATTTAAAATAATTTGCACACTTAATCTAATATCCAAAAAATTATTTGCACCTAAAAAATTATGAAAATTTTTTATTTTTATAATATATTTGTGAATACTTTCCTAAGGAATTTTGACATTCATTTCGAATTTATCTTCAGATTTTTTCCACTACATCTTGTTTTGGAGATAAATACTAATTATTAATTATACAATAATTAAACAATTAAATTGTTATAAAAAACTAAAAAATATATTAATTTTTTTAATTTTTCTAATATAATTCATAATTTTATATTTATAAAAAAAATACTGATGAATGTTAAAGACAACTACTTTTATACATATTTTTTGTTTATTAGATGTATATATATACATATACAAAATCTTCCTTTTCTCTCTCGCCTTTATCCTAACAACAAAAAGTCGGCTACCATAAACCTCTACTTGACACTATATTCTAGTCATCTGTACACAAACCAATAGTTCTTATATCTCCCCATATTTCACCCAACTACTTCTTTTTCGGTCTTCCTCTTCTCTTAACGTTTCTTTAACGTTTTCATGACCATTCTTACATTTTCCGATTTTTTCACATAACATGATTAAACCATCTATGCCTATTTTCATTCATCTTATCCAAAATCAACACAACTCCTATGCATTCTCTTACATATTCATTCCTTTCATACAAAATGATTGACATTTGTAAATTCAATATTTCACATACAGTGGGTTCAATAAATGTATGATAATAAATACGAAGCTTATTTATGAAGGTTATGTTTATTTCGTTCAAACTTAAATTAAGACGTTAAGTTATAGATGTAAAATTAAATTTTACATGTATAAAAGTAAAAGGTTAGATTTACAAAAACAAAATATACAAAATTATATGTAAATATCTTATGTATCTATAAAAAAAAAAATTGTATCGATCTATACATTTTTCAAAAAGTTATGGCAGTATTAAGTAGAAAAAATTGAAAAAATGTCAAAAAGTAGTGATTTTTAAATTTATAATTTTTTTGAAGATTTCTCTCATTTATAATTGTACCATTCTTAGCTTCGTATTGAAGCTAAAAATATACAACTAGTAAATTGTTTTTATTTTAAAGTGCTGTTTGAGAGGCTACACTGATGAGGTCACTGATTTTCTCAAAAGTTATATAAATCAAATCCACATTAAATATAAAGTTAATCATATTTTTAATTTTTTGCCAACGTCCTTCTAAGTTTAGAAAATCGATTTCGAAAATTTAATCCAGCTTAAATTATTCTTTTTATCGCCTTACAATTGCAAAGGTTGATTGTTTGGATGGTATTGCGTGAGTCTCTTGTGTTTGAGGTACATGATTATATGCAATTTCTCAATTTTTCCTAAGCATTGGCAAAACTATCAAAATTTGTGTGATTTTTATATTATTTAATTACTACACCCAAAGAAAAACCTCAATCAATTTTGATAGAGAAGTTTTATCAAGGGTTTATGATAATGTTTTATTAATACGAACAAAATAACTATTCTTATAAATAATTATTGTTCAAGACAAGAAAAAAAAATATTGATAAATACATCATAGGTTCAATAGTAATGATATATTTATCAAATTGAACAATGAATTTATTATATAGATCGAGGTTTTTCTCTGGGTGTACCACATACTGTTAGTAGTTAAAACTAACTACTACTTCAACATATTATCCTTATGAATACTTTTACTAAAAGTAAAAAAATCCTTAATATACCGATAGCTATTTTATGATGAATAGATAGAACAGTTAAATGATAGAGAATGAAACTAAAGAAAAAGTGATGATAAGAATCATTTTAGAATAGCTTGATAATATATATATATCGATGGCTTAGCGCAAACAAATTATTATACATTTTGATCGTTTTAATTTTTGATTATTGTTTTTTATTCATATTTATCAAAAACGCACTTTACTTATTGTTTTTACTTGGCTATCGAAATAAAATAATTGCCTAATGTCAATGTTTTTTACATTAAAAAAAAAACATAATAACAAAAACAGTAAAAACAATGACAAAAACAAAAACAGCGATAATGGTAAAAACAAAACAACTTAAAAAATAAAAATAAAAACAATAACTTCAACAACAACGAATTACAAAAACATATAGGAAATAAGGCAGTATAGATCCAAACTCGGACCTGTAACTATGGCTCCGCAGATGAATTCTATGACGAGTTAAATATACATGTATATAAACTATTACTTATAATATTTTAAATACCTGATACATAATTTTATTATAAATTAACATTTTAATTATTATTCAATTTAACATATAAAACGATTTTTTTCTTTATTAAAAGACTTCAACCACTATTACGGTCATTAATTTACTTTTATTTTTACAATTTATGAGTTTTGATCATTATTTTTATAATTTTAAAATATTTTTGGGTTTTTATTTAAAGGAAACCAACTTGACAATCGAAGAGAGATCTCTAGTGGCATATTTCAAAACACCGCCAGCATTAGGTGCTTTTAATTTGCAATGTTCAAATCATAATACCCAATTAAATTTTGATGGAAATTTTTTACTTGTTAATAGCTTATATTTGTTAATTCAAAATGTAGAACCAAGTGTTATAACACACGGAGAAAGTGTTTCAGTAAGTAAAATTAAAGTTACATTTGAAATGCCCATTATTTTCCTAAATTTTATAGTAAATCTATTTCTAAACTTAGATATAAGAAAATATTTACTCTTCAATTTCTAATTAATACTTAATGTAGTTTAAATTAGAAGTTTTCAACTTGACGGAACCAGTTTCTTTGTTGTGCTACTTCTCTGATGGCGATGATCAAGTGATTTTGCCAACAAATTCGATCAGTGGTAATAAACTTTCAACATCGATCGCATGTCCTGTCCATCAATTAGCAAAAGCGACTGAGTATCGTGTAGCAGTAGTTTATTCAATTGAAGCTATTGATTCAGTTTTAAAGTAATTTGAATTTTTTAGTAATAAAATTTTTATGTATTTTAAAATAAGCAATCAGAATTTTCAAACAGCGTTAAAATTATTATATTTTATAGTTCAAATAATTACAAAACAATTAAGGTTCAAGCAAATCGTCCTAAAATAATGAAGTCAGGATTTACTAAAGATTTAAGAATAATTTGGTTTCAATTCGATCAAAATGTAGAAGGTCCGGAATTGTGTCATGATATATTTACACCTTACACAATAGCTCAAATTAGTGACGGTAATAGTATTGAATTTAAAATTGCAATTTTTTTAGTAAATAACTTAAGAACTATTAATTTATTTATTTTTCTTAGGTGCAGTTTGTTGGTTTTCAGCTGATCATTTAAAGGTACTTCTTGGAAATGTATCCAGTGTAAAAAATAATCAATTCATTTTTCAATTTTCATCAAATAATTCTATAAGATCTTTTAAATCATTGCCCAAATATGGCCTTACAATGTCGTACAACGAAATTTATGTTCCTATAACAATTTCTGAGGTAAATATAGTATAAGTATATTTTCTTCTTTGTATATTTTTCCTCGCTTTTATCTCAACCATTTTAACTTAACACGATCTCCCACATTATCTTTGCACACATTAACCGTCCTCATATCGCATTTCATAATATTCCTCCATCTCTTTTTTGGTCTTCCTCTAATCCTTCTTCTTTCAAAATTAATTTTCATAACTGTTCTTACAGATTCCGATTCCTCTCTTTTTATAACTTAACCTAACCATCTAAGTCTATTTTCTCTCATCCTATCAATAATTGACGCTACACCAATACTCCCTCTTATATATTCGTTCCTTATCTTATCTTTTCTAGCCACTCCACTTATCCATCTTAACATTTTCATCTCTGCTCTATTCTCCTGTCAACTGCCTAACATTCTGAACCATAAATCATACATGTAGCCGGTCTCACTACAGTCTTATAGAACTTACTTTTTCTCCACTTCACCTATCCACTAATAATTTTACCCTAAAATCTTCTGTTACTTCAATCACACTTTTCAATCTGGTATAGGTGTCATCATACATATCTTCTATTATATTAATGTAACCTTTAGGACTCCTTTTCTCATTAATGCCCACTTAAATCCTCTCTCGGTACTCTATCATACGCTTTCTTCTAATCTATAAATGCCATACACAGCTTTTTCTTCTTTTCCTTATTTTTTCTATTAGTTGTCTACACAAAAAACTGTCTTTATCATTAACTTTACAGGCAAAAAACCAAACTGGTTCTTTATTACTGATGTTTTCCTCGTATTTTTTTGTCTATTACCTTTTCTTAAATCTTTAAATTATGATTTCCACACTCCTGTATATCACTTTTACCTTTAAATATCGACACTATTTTTCCATTTTTTTGGTATTTTCCCTTCTAATAGGATTTTATTAAAAATATTCTTCAACCACATTATGCCAACACAGTCTAATATTTTCTATACTTCTACTGGCACTTAATCTGGTTCTACTGCTCTATTCTTTTTTTATTGAGAATATATAAATATTTTACTGAGAAAATTAAAAATCTTAATTTTTTATTTATAATACTATTGTGATATTATTAAATATAATAGTGTTCAATAAGGAAAGGAAAGAGTTTTTATTGTTCTCATTGTTTGTAACAGTTGACTTTTTCTTATTTTTGAACATTCTCTATAAATATAGTAGGTTGTATGATGATAATAATTTTAACTAAAGTAAATTGATAAATATTTATTTTTAAATTACAAATGGTATGTATTTTATAAGTTTTATTAATTTTTATTGTGTGAAATCCTAATTTTTTCTTTACAATATCTTTGGTTTATTTTAATTTTTACTTTCAATAATTTTTTTGTATAATTTGTTTTTATATATGCAAAATTTTGTTTATGTATGCTTATATTAATATATATATAAAAAACATTTAGGTTACATTACCAACCTATTGGCTGATTGGTCCTAGTTTTTATTGTATGTCATACAAAAACTACTCTTACGATGATAATGGATTAAATCAAAAATATTTTTTTAAAAGTGATTGTTCAAATGCTAATATGATTAATGCTCATACATTTGGTTCTTTAATACTTAATTTTGATGTAATTTTAAGTATACACGATTACATAAATACTGCCATAATTTCACCCGAAGAAGTTGCTCTTCGGAATTCTAATTTAAGAAATAGTGTTTTAGAGTTAATAGAAAATATCAAACAACAGAATTTAGCAAATGGGATTTGCCTTGATAGTGCAATGGTAATGTCTAATTTATTTTTGTTATTAAACGAAATAAAGTTTCATATTTATTAAAAAAAAAACTGATAATAATACGATTTTGTTTTACTGATAAATAAATAAATAAATAATAATTGTTATTTTATTTTATAGTATAATAATACTATAACTATGTATGTAAAAAAAAAAACAATTTTTTTTGTTCGTTGAGAATTTAATTAAGCAAAAAGGTAAATTTTAATTTTCAACTCTATTTACAATAAAAATGTATCGCTTGTGGCTAATATTATTTAAAATATAACTATATAAAATCTTAATTTTAAATATTAAATTCAATAAATTATAGATCATAAGTCTCTTTTTATTTTGTTTTTTAATCCTTATAGATACTTAATATTGTGTCAAATAGAAATAGAAATATTATTGTATTATCATTTGTAAATTCTGAAACTACATTTAAAAAAGGAAATGCACAAATAACGTAAATTATTTTCTGAAAATATTAGTATTTTTATTTTGTGTTTTTTTTTCTCTTTTAAAATTTTATTGCATATATTTTAACTTATATTTTATTAAATTTGTTAGTTTAAGTGTTATGTATTATACAGATGTTACCAAATGTTTTATACACATTAGAAATGACTGGTACCAATATTTTGAATCAAAATGGACTAAAAACACAGTTAAAATTCAAATTAGTTGATTATCAAAACAATAACGCAAAAATTGATTTCAAAATAATATCTCGTCCGTTATTTCCAATTGGTACCGAAGCAATTTTTGAAACTGTAATTTATCCAGAGTGCAGTAAATTATATAACAATGAAAGCATTCAGGTACAAAAATATTAAAACTGAAAAAAAAATATTATTTAAAAAAATATAAGTTTTTTGCAGTTTTTGGTTAGAATATTATAAGAGACATTTTAAAATAACTATAGTAAATGTTATTTAGATTTGACATTTTAAGCAAAAGTAAAATGTTTTTTCGGATAATTATATTTTGTTTTTTTATAATTTAAAGTAAAAATATTATACAATCAATATTAGAAACCCAAAGATTATAAATGTAACTGTTAATATCAATTACTTTAACTTTTTAAGACCTTATAAAAATCGTTAATCTAATTTTTTTATTATATTTTAGTATGACTGGTACTTTATGACTGAAGGCATCAAACGAAATTTCATTGGAATTAATGGACCAACATTAATACTTGATACAACAGAACTAAAGAAGGATATTAGTTATATTGTGTTGTGCGAAATACGTAATGCAAAAAATACTAAAGATCTTATTTCTGTGATAGCAACGGTAATAAAATAACATACTTGGGGATTGATTATTCGATTAACAATAAGAGTATTTTTTTGAAGTATTATATTAAATCTAAAAATAATTTTATGCTTGTTAAATATAATATATTATACAGTTCAAGAGAAATAAATTTTAAATACCCGGATTTTGTATTGTAATTTTTTTCTTTTTTGCTAAGGATACCTAATTGTGTTAAAAATTACAAATACTTATAATTGAAATATTCTTTTTTATATTTAAATGTTGGTATTTAAAATAAATTTACATCCCTCAAAATCCTCGAGTATTGAAAACCATATAAATTACATGATTTAGGTTTATTAATATTTTTTAGTTTCGATGTAAAGCTGAGAAGGTATTAATTTTACTATAATGTGTTTTATATGCGTCTGTTACCACTTTTTTTCAGTTCTCACCAAACCGATTTCTTTCAACGATACGTCGAAAGATCAAAAATTGTATTTAGTCAAAAACATTACCCTCAAAAATTGAAAACATTTCTCTCATTCCCCCTAAATGACGGGAATCTCCCAAAAAATTACAATATAAAAAAACCATAATTTTCTACATTTTTATTAAAACTGCAGTAACTTTTTTTATACATACCTTTGATATTTATCTATTATTAAATATATATTTTTTGAAAGTTTGACTCTTTACCTGCCTACAGGGAGTTTTGAAATGGCAAATTTTCCACAAAAAATTAACTTTTCAGCTTAAATTTTGAAAACGTTTCAGAAATATTGATACTTTTATTCATATATATATGTACACTGCATTCGCATATTGGTAAAAGGGGAACAATTGCCTTAATTTTTTATTCGAAAATATTTATTTTGACTTTATACTTATAAAACTTTAAAACTCATTTTTAAAACAGTTAAATTTTGAATTTGAATTTGTGTGTTTTCAAAATCATAAAAAAAAGGTTGGGTACACATTTTCCTGTATCTCCTCACAATAAAAAAATCTCAATATGAAATTATTTTTGTGTAAATTTAATTTTTTCATTTCAATTTTACACAGTTATTACTTTTTAAAAAATGTACAATTAGGTGACTTAATTATTTTAAAATACTTTATAGTTAAACTAATTTTAAAAATCTCGTTTTTTACTAATTAGTGATCATCCCAAAAAGAGGTGATATAAAAATTATAATTGTAGATTTGAAATCGACAAAAATAAAAATAAAAAAATACTCGCTCGTAATTTTGTAAGTATTTTAATTTTTTTTTAGGATGAAGTTACTTTTAGAGTGGATAATTTTGATGCTAAAACAATTATTGTTCCTCAGCAAATCGTAGTTTCATTCAGTCGACTAGTTCATCTGAAAGTTATGCATCATGATTATCTATCAAAAAAAAACGTCAAAGTGAGCTAATATCAACGCTTAATGTTGATAAATAATTTAACGTATGTTTACTTTCTTTGTAAATACTTGGAAAATAATCACTATTCAAAATTGAATATACATGAAATAATTAATAGATACTATAATAAGTATTAAGATTGGGTTTCATAAATTTCACATTATATTATGTTTCTAAATTGATTGTAATTTTAGTTACTTAAATTATTACTATTCTAAGCAGTTTTTTTTTTAAGAATATACTTTGAACTAATTACATTTTCTATATTATCATAACTTGGTAGCGATAAACATGTAAATACGACTCTTCAGGACACAAATGTATTACATTCTTTAAAATATTCAGAATTTTCGAGAATTCAAATACACTTGATGCCAATTAAATAATTATTATTATTTTTTAGTACAAATGGTCATGTAAAACCATAAAAGGTGACGATTGTTTGGAAATTGGAAATTATCCTGAAATAAAAGAGGCTATTGATAATCAACAGTCTTCAGAACTAGTAATTCGTGAAATTACATTGCAACCAGGACGGTTTGTATATTTTATAACCATTATTATCATCCAGAGAAGTATTTACTGGGGGTGAATAAGTTTCCCAGGTAAATCCTTCTTCAACCAAAAAACCAAGAAGAATAAAAAAAATTTTCTAACTTAAACCTCATCTAAATAAAATTCTAGATATGTAACTACTAAAATTAAACGATCGTTACGGTTGTATTAATCGGAACCTAGTGCGGAACTTCGATGTTGAAATCACTAAATATTTAGCAAAATAAATTAATCTAACTATTTACTAATAAAATATTTTTAGGTATTATTTTTTAGTTCAGATATCATTGTCTGGAGTTCCAGTTGATTCTGCCGTTTCGGTGTTAGTAGTATCTTATGAAACTGGTCCCCATATATCGTATTATTGGCCAGATAACGTAAATCCAAGCGTTCCTTTTTCTGCGGGAAAAAGTTTTACTATTGCTGCAACAATATCTTATTTAACATTCAGTTGTTTAGTTTCTTGGAGCACTTCTGCAGATGCTGGTTATAATTATTTAACACCCAAACAGTTGGTATGATTTTTAGAATATTGTTTGTATATAATCATATTAAACAATCTAAAATGTCTTATGTGCAAATTTATTATTAAATTACTATTTATAGAGACTATTATAATTTTTTTACATAAAATAATATTAGTATTTTTTTCTTTTAGTTGTATACTTTTCTTAATTTATCATTCAACAGTTGATTTCTATATCCATCCCTTATATTTACCTCATAAAGGGTGAATATTTAAAATACTACATGATTTATAAATTGGAAAGAAACATGTAACTAAAAGAAATAAAAAAATTATAATTATTAGCTTCGATGCGAAGCTGAGAAGGTATTGGTTTTACTATGTGTTTTTTTTTTTTTTTGTGTCTGTTACCACTTTTTCTCAGCTCTCACCGAACGGATTTCTTTCAACGATACGTCAAAAGATTACAAATCGTATCTAGTCGAAGACATTACCCTTCAAAATTGAAAAAATTTCCCTCGTTCCCCGTAAATGGGGGAAACCTCCAAAAAAATTACAAATTTAAAAATCGCTTTTTCACAAAAAATTAACTTTTAAAAATGTTCCAAAGGTCTGACACTTTTATATATATCTTAAATTAAAGCTAATGTAATATACTTTAATTTGAAAAAAAAAAATTTGACCTCTGGACTTGTCTTCACGGCGAAAATGGCTACCGAATGCTATTTTCGTGTGAAAATTCTCGATTTTATTATTTATATTATATTTAACTTTATAATGCTATAACTTATTGAAAAGTTTATGGATCCACACAATTTTTTTATGAGAAATAATATTTTTTAATAAACCTTTTTTCATTCGACATACTTTATCTTAATCGAGATATTAATCAGGAACCAGCAGATCAAGTAGCTTTTGGAATAAAACACCAATTTTTTTAAAATTAAACACTATCTAAAGATTTGCATCGAAGCGTTTATTTTTGATAGTGATTTTAATCACTGTCAGATATCATTTACTTGATCCAACTATGCCACGTCACCACTGTGCCGTGACCCCCCTGTCCTGGGTTTTTATTTTTATTGTTTTTAATAATTAATTTGTGATCAAATAATCACCCTATATTCTACGGCTAATAATTTCATTAGAAAATTTATCAAAAGATAAAGTGACTAAGACATTTTTACTATAATTTGTAAATACATACATAATTAATAATAAATAATTAAATCAATTCAGCGAGTTCGTAATAATTATTAAAGCAATTTTAGGGCGGAAAGGTTAAAGTTCTTGAAGATTATAAACCAAATAGAAATGAAACGTTTTCTCGTAATGTACGATTTACTGTGACATTACCTAATAATGTTAAACACAGCGCAAAATATTTGTTAAAGCTAAATGTTTATTGTGCTTCGTTAAAATATCCAGTATTTGGTATTATACCTTTATCTATCGTGGCTTCTCCATTAGTTTCTGAATTAAAGGTAAAAAATGTCTAGTTAAACATAATATTTTTCATTGAAGTATTCATACAGTTTATATTATACTTAGGTATTCCCATTGGATGGCATTGGTTTTAACACAGTATTTAGATTTCAAACAAACCCAGCTTACGATACTAAATCAAGTCATCCTATACAATATAATTTTGGTTATTATATTCGAACATTATCAACTAAACCCATATACTTCTATTCGTCTTATTACTGGCTAAAAACTGATACTGTCTTACCATCAGGTAAAAAAACTTACTTAGAGGTTCAATTAATTTCATTCATAAGTTTTAAATTTACAGTCAACTCGAGTTATACACGTATAAAAACAATTTTAAAAGCATGTAATATCTACCATAGTTGTAGTATTACAGAAGGTCCAGATGTTTTAGTTCACCAACCAACTCAACCTTCAGAATCCGAAATAAAGTAGGTTCTTTTTAATTATATACTATCAATTTAAAAACAATTATAAAAATGTTATGAATTATTAAGTAAATATACTTTTAATACAGTAAAGAATAACCTTATTACCTGCACAATTACTGTGCATTAACCATCTATTAAAATCAAATTAAGAGCATTAATTGTTTATCTAAAAACAATTTGTAGATCCTACCTTATTAAGTATAAATCATTATTGAAATCGCAAATGATAACTGAATCGGAGGCTTTTTTAATTTCATTTATTAGTACGATGAAAACGTATAATAATAGCCAATATCAACAAATTGCTGGCAAAATTATGAACGTTATTAACGAATACATTAACGAAAGTGTAATTTTAAGGTGTGTGATTAATTTTTTGATCATAATTCCAATATTTACATTTAAAAAACATTTTAATGTTTTCGGCTAATAATTTGTTTAGTTTATCTGAACGCAGAGAATACTTGCCAATAAGCTTAACATACTTGGAATCATTCACTCGGATATTATCTACAATTTCAATATACAATGGAAACATTTTAAAATGTCTTCTTTTTTTGAGAAATCAAATTTATACTATTTTAACAAGTAAATTTTCTAATTAGACTAATTTTATCTTTTGATAATTTTTAATTTTTATAGTTCCAGATAAAATGCCTACATCATTAAATGTCATTACCAATATTAAATACATTGTACGTAGTTTAAATGCTGTAGATTTAGCCATTCACTCAAATATACAAATAAACATGAAATTAGTATGAAAATAGAATTATCAGCTACATTTATATAGTTGACACAAAATATTCTATAATATATTTTTTTAGATAAATTTATTTTTAAGAGTATCAGAAATAGTTATACTTAATTCCCCAAAAGACACCATAGAAATAGTGGAAAAGAAAAACTTAGTTGTGAATATATTCAATTATGCCAAACAAATCTGCATGGTAATGAATGAGCGTGAAGAAAAATATGTTGGTATGTTTCTTTTCAGTAATAACTTGTTTAAATATTTAATTAGTTATGTTTTATAACTTTGACAAAAATATTTTAATATAGATTGATATTGAAAAATATTTAAAAATTAAAAACACACTTCAGAGTGATTTTATGGCAATATGTCTATGTATATACATAATGTGTATTACATATGGACATATTGCCATGTGAATAATTGTTTTACGATCAAGTTAGTTGCAAAAAATACAATTTTTCCAATTAAAAGATAAATACCGAAGTTAGTGTGGTTTTTCTACTGCTATTATCTGTCATAATTAAAATAAAAATAAATTCCTTGTTCTTGAAAAGAACAAATATTATATACAAACAACGCTAGATAATTTAGAACTTTATTTAAAAATATAAGTATAATATTAAAATACTTTATAACAAAATACTACAATATAATGATCAAGCGATGCAGATATATGTCTAAAAGAGTTTATTACTAACACAATTAATTGTTTTTGGTTTTAATTTCAAAAAAATAAGTCTTAAAGACTTAATAATATATACTTTGGTTCATTTTTGTTTAACAGGATCACTAGTTGGAAGTTTTAGTGTTCAACATGTAAATAGTTTGAGTTTGCTTGACCATTTGCTTGAAATTCCTTCTTGTAGTTCAGAACTTGATAAAAAATGCATTAAACAGAAATCAAAAGTAATAATTTGTTTCTTATTTTTAATTGTATAAGAATAATAAAGAAAATGTATTAAAATATATATGCGCACATATAGGATATCACGGTGTGCTTAGTATAATTAATTAGCAATTAGTAACTCCACTTTTATTTAATTTCACTTATTATTAAAGGTAACAAACTAAAGATAGGATTATCAAAAATGTTTGAAATTTCAAGTTTTAAATTGTAATAATTTTAAAAGTTCAACATTTTTGACTGGATGTGCTCCTTTATGTTTTAATGTTAACCTTACTTATATGTATTAATAAACAAATTGTCTATAACATTAAGTAATGTTGTTACAAAATTTTATTATGATCTTAACTATTTTAATAAAAAGCCACTGTGTTTTTCAGATTATTTTAGATGATACATTTTTTAAAAAAGTATCAACTAAATTTCCATTTTGCGTTGTAGGAATTCATTATTATGATGACTTTTTGTCTCATGTAGACAGTAAAATGAACCAAAGTAAACTTAAAAGGTTAGCGACAATAAAACGTAAAAACACTTTTTTATTAAAAATATATAGAAATCATTTTTATAATGATATAAATAAATATCAATAAAAATTGATTAAAAATTTAAAGAGTATTTTTTTTATTCCTTTAGGTGTAGTAGTATATACGGATATCATATATTAAAAAATTATAGTGCAGAACTATTATCAAATGAAGAAATCGATGAATTTTCCGATTTAACGAACATTATTGAAATTCCATTAGAGACAAATTCTGAAATATCTTATGAAGTAATTTGGATAACTAGTTTTTTGTTTTTTGGTCAAAGATAATTAAAAATTTTTTTTTTAAATTAATCAGTGTAGATATTGGAATGATAATCATATATGGTCCAATAAAAGTTGTACATTTCTCGGGACTATAACAAAAGGACAATCAGTTTTTGGGAAATGTGAATGTCCTGCATTTAAATATTATGGGTAAATAAATTTAAATAGTTTTACTCTTTAAAGTTATGAGTCATAAAGTATGTCATATATTTTTAATAAATTTGTAACCGATTTTTTTAGTATTTTTTCAGCAGTTAATCAAGTTGCATCAGACAGCTCTGCATCAGAATCTATACATAGCTCAGTGTTCTATGATAAGAATAGAGATGAACTTTTTAATAAATCAATAATAGCGCAAAGATCCTCGCATGATTTTTATGCCGCATTTAGGTATGTCATATTTGTATAATAATTATTAATCATATCATTTTGTTGTAACACATGGGCTGACAAGTTCCGGGTCTAACAAAAAAAAACACTATTATTTCATTCAAAATTGACTGTATTCATCAACATAATCTCGACCAAGAGCAACACAATCATTCCAGCGCCGTTCTAACATTTGAATGCCGTTCTTGTAGAATGATTTATCTTTTGTCTTAAATTAGGTCTCAGTTTCACTGATAACCTTTTTATTCGAACGAAATTTCTTGCCGGCAAGCATTTATTTTAAATCTGCAAAAAGCCAGTAATCGATGGGAGCCAAATCTGGAAAATATGGTGGATGAGGAAGCAATTCGATCTTTAATTCACGTAGTTTTTCCATTGTGTTTTTTGATTTGTGACACGGTACGTTGTCTTGATGAAACAAAAAATTTTTTTTTGCCATATGCGGTCGTTTATTTGTAATTTCGTCCTTTAAACGCTCCAATAACGCTATATAATATTGACTGTTAATGGTATTTTCCTTCTCAAGGTAGTCGATGAATATTATACCTTGTTTATCCCAAAATACAGAGGCAATTACCTTTTCAGCTGACTGTTGTGCTTTCGGGCACTTTGGGCGAGGTTCTCCGACTGCTGTCCAATAAGATGACGATCGTTTTGATTCTGGAGTGAAGTGATGGATCCATGTTTCATCCATAGTGATATATTGACGCAAAAATTCCGGTTTATTATGTTTGAACATGATCAAACACTGCTTAGAATCATCAACACATTGTTGTTTTTGCTCAACAGTGAGCAAACGTGGCACCCACTTTGAACAGAGCTTTTTCATGGACAAAAGCTCATACAATATAAAGCCAACATGTTCTTTTGATATCTTAATGATGTCAGCTAATCTCACACAACTTCATTTTACGATCATTCAAAATAATTTTGTGGATTTTTTCAATATTTTCTGGAGTTACTGTCTCATTTGAACGTCCACTGCGTTTTGCATCATCTGTGTCTCTACAACCACGTTTGAATTAAACATACCAACGTTATATTGTTGTATCTGATGGAGCAGAGTCCCCATAACACTTCTCAAGCCATTTCTTTTCTTGAACGGTATTTTTTCCCATCAAAAAGCAATGTGAAATTAACACACGAAATTGTTTTTGATCCATTTTTGAAAATTACAAAAGTAGCTTCACGCTTAGCACAATAGATCACATTCTAATGAACAGATTGTCATGAAAGTTTAACAGCTGTCTTTTGTAGGTTAGTACCAACTAAAAATAAGATTAATTCCAAAAAAATAGCGCCCTTTATATATTAGGCCCGGGACTTTTCAGCCCATGTGTTATAGATATCATCATAATGTAACCGACACTATTATTTTTACTACAGTTCGTCAACGATATATTTTTTTTGATATCAATATCGTACTGAATTTCAGCAATATTATATAGTAATATAGAAAAAAAATTGTTCCCGATATTATCGTATGAAAAAATGAATCGATATCGAGAAAAAAAATTATACTCAAAAATTAAATTTAATATTTAAATGCTTTCACCATGTTTTTATATTATTAAGAATGCTGTTATCTTACTATTGTTGTAAAAATCAGACTATAGTATACCAACCAAATCAAATAATGATATTAATATAAAAAAAATATAGATAATAGCTATAATATTTACGATAATCAAATATTTTCTAACTACATTTTATTATGAAGAAATAAGTTTTTTTTTATCACAAGACTTTATTATTATATATTGGGGATAGTAAATGGATAAAATTATTCTTTATTGAATAATAGTATTATAGTTTCAGTGTTTTTATTTTTAATAATAATAATAATAATAATAATAATAATAAAAAAAGATTATTAGTGCTGCTGATAATTTTTTTTATTGCTTTGTCATAATTAAAATCAATTTTATTCTTTTCAAAAATAAAATTTAAACTTTTACGAAATAAAGCATCATTATCACTATCATCTAGAAAGGATTTTTTTGGGGGGGCTCTATAATTTCATTTCATTTTTCAGATTCAGTTTCAACCAGTTATTGCTGTAAATCATCTTCTAATTCTGAAATTTCATTCTTCCTATACATTACTCTGTTCGTGTTTTGTTAAAAAGTATAAAACAGTGTCATAACAAAAAACCTATTCTAAGAATAGAATTTTGTATCAATAAATACCATTTTCGTCTTATTTCAATTCTATATTTCATAATATATTTTAATACAAAAAATATTAACAAGATTATCAAAAACTGTTTTTGGTTTAATATCAAATAATATATATTTTATAATAAAGTGACCAAAATTCAAAGTTTTTTTTTAAATATATTTTTATTTTATTATTGTAATTTTTCAAAAATAATCGATTTTGTGGGAAAATTGAAAAAGTCAACGATATCGTTTCTAATTTTTACCAATATTCGACTATTATCAAAAATGTATTTGATTATAACACTTAAAATATTTTTAGAATAAATAGCAACTCAGCCGATTTCAATGATCAAGATTTAGGGACCCTAGAGAGCTCTTTAAGTCAACAACTAAATGAAAAATTAGAATCGCTTTCAAATATTATGAAAGGATTAAAATTAATTTTAAGTAAGTTTAAATGATTTATCTGACGGTTAAATTTTATAGAAATTAATAAATAGAATGATTCAGGCGATCCTGTGTATATTGTTTTACATTTGAGTCAAATAACAAATATTACTACAGATGGAACAATACAAGAATTAGCTAGAAAATTAAGCGATCGATCTTTAATGTTATACGATTTACATAGATCTAGGTTATTCGTTCCGGAACAGCCTCTTCGTATTATACAACCACGAATTTTAGGTATTATATTAATTGAAAATAATTTTGTCCTCAAAGAATAAGTTTTATCTCTATATTCTTAAATTTATAATTTTAGAAACCAATGACTTTGGTAAAAATATTGCTATATTTTTCGCAATAGTTGTATCATTTTTAGCATGTTTTATTTTTGGTTCCATTTTAATAAAACGCCATCAAATCTTCTCGGACACATTAAACCTACAAGTAAAGAATAAATAAATAAAATTTATTAAGTTTTAATAATTTGTTTATTTGTAATTTGATTTTTTAACTCCTAGCAAAACATTATGAATGAAGATATTCCAATGAAAAGACCTAAGTATAAAGAGTTGGAATCCAATGAACTCATTAAACAAAATACAAGTGGAGATCAAAAATTTGAAAATTTTAGTACAAGTAAGAATTTAAAATTAAATAATAGTAGTGGGTGATGACAATCAAAAATAAATAAAACCATATAAGGAATAACTGTAAATAGTCAAAATGAAACAATTACGTTGTGAATAATGTTTTTAAGTTGAAATAAATTTATTAAATTAAACTGTGTAACTATCTAATTTCTTTGACTAAAACCAAGGAAGATTAAATGTAAATTACATTATTATTCAAAAGCTTAGAGAACTTAAAACAACTTAGGATCAAAATCGTACTTTCTCAAAATTGTAGGTAAGACTTGCAACTTTAACTCTCTCCTGTTGGAATAATTAATAATAATTAATACAAGGAAATATTTAAGATTGCAAATTAACTATACAAAATTGACAGTTCAAATCACAAACCACATAAGGCACGGGAGTTCTATTAGCTTATTTTTCAGTATTTTACAAAAATATTAAGCTTGCAAATAGATAAATTACAATTAAAATCATCACCAAATTGACACTATTATTGTTCTCCGTTTTTATAATTTGTTTTGTTGTTCGAAAATTTTAATTGTTTAAATTAAAATTAAAACATATTAATCTTATTAAATAATTTCTAATTATTCTTTTTCAGATGTAGAATTATCTGACTCAGGAATTACTTTTCATTCAGACAAGACTTAATCAATTTATTATAACAAGTTTACTAAATTTAAAACTATGTAATGTAGGCGCAAGTATAGCAAAATTTGTTGAGAATAGTGCACTTAATTAAAAATATCCTATTATTTATTTAAATAAAATAAACCAAAATTAAAATTTGCGCTTATGATAAACAGTGTACAGTATTTAAATTTATTTATATATATTTATTGATATTAAAAAAATGTTGATAAACAAAAAAATTCAATATTGTCGCAGTAAAACACTAACCAATAGGGAAGTAAATCTTTATTAATTGGTGATTAAATATTAATAATTTTAGGATATCAATAATTAAAATAAAATATTATAGTTAAGGCAGGATTAAAATATATGTTAGCACTAGGCAGTGGTATAACCAAAGAGGAGGCTAAAGGGACTATTGCCCATTACTGTTAAATTATTGCAATAAATAGTATACAATTTTGATGTAAGTTAAAGCATGTGTTATGCTAAATAGTTTATAAATTTCCAAGCAAAAACCCTAGCTACGCCTCTAGTCATAAACATTAATTAAAAAAAAAAATTGTAATTAAAATAGACACTCCAACAAAAGTGTAAAAAAAATAAAAGCCCTGATTACAGTCTACTCTTATAATTGTCTAAATAATAGAATTTTTATTAATTAACTTTGATAAACAAAAATAAATTACTTCCAAGAAGTAAGGAGATGTTAGCATCCACAAATTAAAAAAAAATATAGTAAAATGAGGACGCGACATATGTAGAAATGATGACGGTGATGATTAAAATCACTATCATAAATAAAATTTTGATAAAAATTTATAGATTGAAAGGTTAAAAGTATCATAAAAAAATTTAATTAATTGGCCACAACAGATAAAATCCGCAACCTTTCATGGCGCATTGAAAAATACAAAAGAGAGTCGTCGACCCCCTATTGGGCGAGACAATGTTTTGTCGGACCACAATAGGATTTTTTTTAAAAAAAAATTTAATATTGTACATTAAAAGCAATTTAAGATAACCAAAAAATAGAAAAGAAATAAAGTTAGTATTTGATATTCGCTGAGTTTGATATTTGGTGTACATCAAAGCCTCGTGACAGTTGTTACATAACCATGATGATCAGGGATGACCATATACAAGGCCGTTGCCCGTACCTTATAAAATAGGGGGAGTTGATTTCTGAAAGGACAAAATACAAAAATACACGAGTCCATTGAAGATGGAACACGCAAAAAAAAAAAAAAGAAGATGACAGTTAAGTTAAATTAAGGGGACTTTATTTTTAAGAATAATAAATAAATACCAATATTTTATATGTGTTAGAATATTTATATCACCAAAAGTATTCGACCGAAAATAAGACGTAAAATATTTTCAGTAATTACGAAAGAAGATAAAAATAGTGCAGATTTTATATAGAATTGTAACTAAAAATGAAACATACACTAACGCACATTCATTTTGTGTATCTTGGTTGAGAGTTCTAGAGTTCCAGAGAGCCGTAAACATGCAGAAATAAAAATGGCAAGGCGTCCCAGTGTCAGCTAGAGGAATGTTTAGAAACCGTACATAACCATCGTAAAAGAACCCCCGAATTTGAGGAAAAATGGCCTTTTTATAGCCCGCAAAACTGGTTAGCGATCTCTGGTGAGATTCTTGAAATATTTTTTGCTGTATTTGATTGGTTAATGTGATAGAATCTTTTACGTGGGCGTTTTATGGAATGCGTAAGAGGGTAGTTAAATCTTGTGTAAGGGTATTATTTTATTATTCATCTTGTCCACAGGGGAATACTGATTTGGTGATATATTTTATTAAATATAAGTATTAATTATTACATGAATTAAAATGTGATACTGCAGTAGTTTTGTTTAAAAGGACATTTGTATACAAATTTAGACTAATAAAAAATCTACTAAGTTTCATTAATAAACTAAATCCATAGGGGCTAAAAGTATTTTTACCCCCATCCTAAAATATTTTAAATAACAATATACATTATTTCTACACAATTTCCTAAATTTTTAGAGATATTTTGTCAACTGAGGAGCTGAGTCTTCTAGCTTCCTAGTTACACCAATGTCTACTAGATAATTTTATAATTTAAAATTACTAATCAATTTTTCATGAGAAATTTTTTCGGAAACTAATATAATAAAATTCATGAAACATTTTTTTTTTTAAATTTAATTATTAGTTTCGATGGAAAGCTAAAAAGGTTTGTGATAGTGTGCATTTGTTTTTTATGACTATCCATAGAAATTCTCAGCTTTAGCTGGACAGATTTTAATAATCAATAGATCCCGGTTAGTTGAATATATTGTCATAAATAAAAAATTGGAAAAGACCCGTCAATTTTAAAAATTTTGAAAAATATCTTCCTTAAAAAGGAATTTCCAAGAAAATTTTTTTTGGGCCAATAGTTTGATTCAAAATTTTTGTTATATTTTGTCATAACAATTCTTGTGTAGTAAAAGATAATCCAAATTTTTTCTTTTTAATTTAGGGTACTTATGAACAAAATCAATTAACTATTAACGATTCATATTAGACAATATAGATTTAAAGTAAGATTATGATTAAACATATGTTTAATATTCAAGGTTTAACTGAGCTTAACTCGACTCGCCATATGGCGAATTTGGTACAGACACACTATCGCACCCCAATTACCTATCTTAATTCTAATTTGGATGGCGAGACTGTAGATGAATATTCAGAGTGGTATTTATAATTTGTAAAAAATAAGTTTGTTGTGTTGTAAGTTAATTATTTCTTTCTTTCATATTTTGTATCTAATATTAATAATAATATACATTAAGGCTAACATAATTAGCAATTGCTTCTAGTGTTATGCATGTGACAGGATGAAGTACAGGAGGAACAGGTATAGATTTTTAAACATAGTTTTTTCATGTACATATTCTATTTTACATCATGAAATTTAACATTTTTACGTGTGATAATGAATACTGTACAAGTATGTGCAGTACAAATCCACCATACAAATACCTTGTTATTTAACCGACAAATGTTTAGACGTTTTTATTTTAACCATATTTAATATTATATTTTAATATCAATATAATAATTCTATTGCAGTGATTGATATGTCAAAGCAGACCGACACAATTGCAGTCCCGTATTTTGACTTACGTATAACCACGTTCGCCGCTAATACAACTGCTGCATATGCTCTAGTAATTTCAGACAATGTCTATTTACATATACTATTAATTAATAACTATTGTTAAGACATCAAGTAATTCAAAGACGACACCATGGAATATTCTAAATTCTAAATTAATTTTAGTTATTACAATTAAATTACAAGATTAATTAAACTAAATATAAAATATTGTACTTATAATTAAAAAATGATAAATTTTGGTTTTGTGTAAAGAATACAATTTAAAATATAAAACAAATATAGTATTATTAATCATTACTATTATTAGTAAATTTTATTTAACATTTGTAACAAAAATCGTGGGATTTTCATGATACTCTCTGTCGTTAGACGCATATTTAACGATTTCCTGTTCTGGATGTCAAACAGCTTGCGCAATGGTTCCAATGGATACTATACTCAGTCGATGAGTAGACGATGATACGTATATACCGTAGTTTAACTTGTCAGGAGATGAATGATATTGTATTTTTTAATTTGATGCCAGTTTCAGCAGGTTGAGTTTAAAAATAAGTAAA